TTTTTTTTTTTTTTTTTTTTTTTTTTGCGGTACGCGGGCCTCTCACCGCTGTGGCCTCTCCCGTTGCAGAGCACAGGCTCCGGACGCGCAGGCTCAGCGGCCACGGCTCACGGTCCCAGCCGCTCCGCGGCATGTGGGATCCTCCCGGACACGGGGCACGAACCCGTGTTCCCTGCATTGGCAGGCGGACTCTCAACCACTGCACCACCAGGGAAGCCCCCAAGGCCAGACTTTTTAGAGATGAGAGTGCCATCAGATTTCTACATGGTATCTCAAGATATCACTGTGCTCACCCCCACAGCTCATGGTGTAACTGCAAACACTCAAATGACGCCTACTATGTGCCAGGCACCGTTCTAAGCACTTTACGTATATGGATTCACTTAATCTTTGAAACAACCCAGCAAGATAGATAACTCTCATTACCCTCCATTTTGCAGCTGGAGCAACTGACACCCAGAGCGATTGGGTAACCTGCCCAAGGCTGCACAATGAGTATGTAGCAGAGCTGGGATTTGAATCCAGGCTGTCTGGCTCCTGAATCCATGCCCTTAACCATGATTCTGTGCTGCGTGGAGAGCTTGCTTTTTCTACAGCCAAGGAGAGCTCCGAGGCATAACTTATTCAGCCATCACCCAATTGATGAGTGTCTTTGTGGCTTCCAATTTTCTGATATAATTGGGTGGATCCAGGTTTTGTGGGGTCTGAGGATCATACAATTCGAGGGGCCCTCTTTTGGAAAAACTATAGAACTACCAACACATTAGGTGCAGGGTCTTGTAAAAGGCCTGAACAAGTGAGGGTGCTGAAGCCCCGGCGGCACTATCATCACAGTAAATCCCCCTCTGCTAACTGTACTGCAGAAACGGTACTAGCTGTAGCAAACAGAAGCACAGAATATCCACATGCAGTCTGCACATGTGTGCAAGTGTTAGGAGAAAAGCCTCCTAGAAGTGAAGTTTGGACTTTCCATTCCCAGTGCCTAGAGCAGTCACGCCCGGGACATAGCATGTGCTCAATAAATAGTTGTCAGATATCTTTAACAGGACACAAAAACACTAATTGTACAGAAAAACTGGACAAACTGAAGTATAAGATGAATAACTCCTGTTCGTCCGCAGACATCATTAAAATAGGAAGGCAAGCCACAAATAAGATACTGGTAGTCCAGACATTCAACAAGCATTTGTATGCAGAATATATAAAGAACTCCTACAAACCAGGAAGAAAAAGACAACTCAACAGAAAATAGATCAAACACTTAAATGGACGCTTCACAAAAGAGACCATCCAAATAGCCAGTAAGAACATGAAAAGATGCCCGAGTTCATTAGTCATCAGGGAAATGCAAATTAAAAACCACAAAGTGGATCTACCGGAACCTTCGAATTGTGAGCGGGAAGGTAAAGTGGATGAACCAATTTGGAAAACTGTTTAGCAGTTTCTTTTAAACATAAACATACACCTACCTAAGGCAGCAATTCTGCTCCTAGGTATTTACCCAAGAGAATTGAAAACATATCCACATAAAACCTTATACATGAATGTTCACAGCAACTTTATTTCACAAATAGCTCCCCACTGGAAACAACCCAAACATCTAGAGAATGAAGAGACTGTAGAATATTCAGACACTGGATTATCACAAAAAGGACATGCTGTATGGTTCCATTTATGTGAAATTCTAGAAAAGAGAAATCTAATAAATGGTGACAGAGAGCAGATCAGTGATTGCCTGGGGCTGAGGCTGGGCTAGGGCATTGACCCGGAGAGGGGGGAACCATGAAACTTTCCGCAGTGTTGAAAATGTTCTGTGTCAAAACAGACTCACAGACCTAGAATAAACTTACGGTTACCAAAGGAGAAAGGGGAGGGGGGTAGGGATAAATTAGGAGGTTGGGATTAACATATACACACTACTACATATAAAATGATAACCAACAAGGACCTACTGTATAGCACAGGGCACTCTACTTAATACTCTGTAATAACCTGTATGGGAAAAGAATCTGAAAAAGAATGGAGATATATATATATATATATATATATATAATTAAATCATTTTGCCGTACACCTGAAACTAACACAACATTGTAAATCAACTATATTCCAATATAAAATAAAAAATTTTTAAAAATGAAATAAAAAAAAGAAAGAAAATGTTGTCTTGAGATGGTGGTTACACAGGTGTGTTTGCCAAAATGTATTGACATTTTATTGTATGTAAACTAGACCTCAATAATCTTGATTTAAAAAGAAAAATCACCCTTTCCTGTCTTCTGTCCCCACCCCTCCTATCCCCTGCCCTTCCCTCCACAGAGATGACCATCATTCAAGTTTGCTGCGTATCTACTGTATCTGGTGTGTAATTCTATTCAATTACGTGAGCATATGGAAACATGTCAATTTTTTTAAAATTGGGATATCACACATGGTTCTGCAACTTGCTTTTTTTCACTTAGTAAAATTTGGAAATATTGTTTGTATCAATACAGAGCCTGCTCGTTGTTTGGCATGGCTGCATAAGTGGTCAATTGTATGGATGGGTTTTATTTAAGCAGATCCATATGGAGAGATGTTTACGCTGTTTCCATATTTTGCTCCTACAAAGCTGGTGTGAATATCCTTACACACGTCATTTCCAGACAGATGTGTATCTGTAGGATAAATTCCTGAAGGTGGAATCACTGGTCCAGGGGAAGTGGCATTTTTCACAGGTCATTTGAAAGATTCTCCCAAATGTCTTTCCAAACAGGCTGTACTGATTTACATTAATTTCCCCTGATTGCCAGTGAGTCCGAGCATCTTTGCATATTATTCTAGGTCATTTCTATTTCGTCTTCTGTGTGGGTTCAAATCTTTTGACTGTGTCCTTCCTAAGCTCTTTATCATTTTCTTATTGGTTTGTAGCAGCTCTTTGTATATTTTGGATCTTAAACTTCATCACAGATATTACAAACACTTCTCCCAGTTTGCTGCTTGTCTTTTGGCTTTATGGTGACTCTACCCTCTCAAAATATTTCCATTTTTTGGTTGTCAAATCTCTATCCCTTTTCTGTTATGGCCCCTGAAAATGACTTCCCAACTAAAGGTATGAAAAACAGAGAAATAAGTGGAAGAAGGGAGGAAACTTTAAATGCCCAGAGACAGCCATCAGGGCATCTGTCATAATTGAGGGCCCAGAGGTCACAGCCCCTCAGGGGTGAATTCTATGGCCCTTAACAGTTCCAGAAGCTCTTACTATCCATTAATTACCTGGGGAAACATGTCTGTTCCAATACATGCACAAAAATTCCAGGTGGGGCTGTGCCTTTGCTGTTCTGAACTGCCTTAAATAACCCTCGTTATGACATTATTTTTCACCCATCAGATTGACCCAGGTTAAAAAGATGATGCTCACTGCTGGTGAGGCTGTCGGGGAAACGGGCACTTTCATCTTCCTTGAGGGGAATTTGTACAACTTCAATTTAGCAGGATCTTTCTAAATACAAAGTGGGTAGGCACTCATTCAACAACCTTTTAAAACTTTCTCTTGAAGCTTAATATACAGAAAAGTGCACAAATCATTATTAGTTTGGTGAGTTTTCCCAGAAAATGAAACATACTTGCGCCACCAGCGTCCAGACCAAGAAACAAACCCTGAGCAGCCCCCTGCAGCCCAGCTGATGCTGCCCCCGCCCCCATTATGTTGCCGGAGCTGCGGTTTAGTCCTTCTATTGCATGAATTCATCACAATTATTTAACTATTCTTCTGTCAATGGGCATTTGGCTGGGTTCCAGTTACGAATAATGCTGCTAACACACCCTGGCTTTGGGTGGACACACGTGCATTTCTGTGGAGTGTGTGTCCCACGAGCAGAACTGCCAGGTCACAGAACGTGCCCAGGTTCGATTTTAGCAGATTCTTTGAATTTTTTTCCAGAGTCGTTTTACCGATGAATGCTCCCACCAGCAACACGTGAGCTCTGACTGTGCCACATGTTGAATTAGTATTGTCAGTATTTTTTGTTAGCCATTCTAATGATATTTATATATATTTATAAATATCTAATGATATTTATTGTGATATTTATTGCAGTTTTAATTGCATCTCCATGACAGTATTTTTTCAGGGGCTTATTAACCGTTTATCTACTTTTTGTAGTTTATATTCAGTATTTTGCCTCTTATAAAGCAGTTGTCATTGATTTGAAAGAATTCTTTGTATAGTTTATATATTTGTAACATGTAGTTATTATATATGTATTTGTTAAATATACATATATAGTGAATATTTTCTCCAAGTCTATACTTGCCTTTTCATTTTCATTCTTTTTTTTATTGTTTTTTCTTAGTATCTTTTGCAAAACAGATTAATTTTGATGAAGTTCAATTACCATTTTATTACTTGCACTTTTAAATAATCTTTATTATTTTATTGATTTTAATTGTTTAGTAATTTATTTTACATTTTATTTTTATATTTGTATTTCTATCTTATTTTTATATTTATTTTATTATTAAATGAAGTTAAATCCAAGATTTCTATATCAAAATGAAACCTCTGGGGAAAATAGTTTAGCTGTGTTCATTTGTCAGAGAAAAGAAATATTGGAGCAGAGAGGTCAAGGGGGTTTACCCAAGGCCACAAGGTGTTGTTAAATCTGTCAAACGCATTTTCTGTTTTTAATACGGTGAATCACACTGATTGACGTTCGAATGTTAAACCTACTTTGTATTCCTAGGATAAATGCCCCTTGGCCATGACGTACTACTGTTCTTTTCATATGTTGCTGAATATGAGTTGCTAAACTTTTAGGAAGGAGTTTTGTGTCTGTGTGTCGTCTGAGTCAAGTTTTTCATCAGGGCAACGCTGGCACAGAGGTGTCGCCTTCCACACTGTGAATGAGCCGTTGCTGAGTTCCTTCCCCGTCTGCTGGAGGTCACCAGTGAACCCACCCTAGCCTGTCCTCTGTGTTTGTAACTAAGAATTACATTTCCTAATAAGTTCATAGCGTTGTGCAGTTTCTTCTTGACTGAGCTTTGGTAGTCCGTGCCTTTCTCTGTTTCTCTCTTGCTATGTCTCTTGTCTCTTGTTCTTTCCTCTATCCCGCAGCTGTCTCTGCCTTGGCCACGTCTATCCTGTTGTCACCCAGATTTCAACTGAGTCATGGAATTCATTGGCATCATCATCGTTCACAGCGTTCCCTATCTTTTTCATGTCTGTAGGGGAGACGTGGCCAGGGAGTCCAGAGGGGACGGCTGAGGACTGCCCATGGACCCCGCAGCAGAACGACCCTGGTGAACAGGCAGCCTGTGGGTCCACAGGAACACTGAACCCACCCCGTCCAACTCTCAAAGTGGCACATGTACCTGGGTCAATGCAGCGTCTCTCAGGTTCAAGGGAAAGCAGAGGCCGCGAGTACAGACTCAGGAGACAGCAGTCGCCAGGGGCGATCAGATCCTGTACCTGGAATCTGAGGTCCCTGCTCAGCCTTAGCTCCCCGGATCTACCCCAAAACATCTCAGATGGCCTGCTGCAGCAGGAGGGATGAGAGCCAGACCATGCGGAGGACCAACAAGAGGCAGCTGCTACTTTCTGGATGGGCAGGAGCAGGCTTAAAGATCTGAGCCCATCGGTGAGACTTTTTTTTTTTTTTGCTGCATTGGGTCTTCCTTGCTGCGCGTGGGCTTTCTCTAGTTGCGGGGAGCGGGGGCTACTCTTCATTGTGGTGCACGGGTTTCTCATTGCGGTGGCTTCTCTTCTTGCGGAGCTCGGGCTCTAGGCGTGCGGGCTTCAGTAGTTGTGGCTCGCGGGCTCCAGAGCGCAGGCTCAGCAGTTGTGGCTCACAGGCTCAGTAGTTGTGGCTTGCAGGCTCTAGAGCGTAGGCTCAGCAGTTGTGCTGCACGGGCTTAGCTGCTCTGCGGCATGTGGGATCTTCCTGGACCAGGGCTCGAAACCATGTTCCCTGAATTGGCAGGCGGATTCTTTTTTTTTTTTTGCGGTACGCGGGCCTCTCACTGTTGTGGTCCCTCCCGTTGCGGAGCACAGGCTCCAGACGCGCGGGCTCAGCGGCCATGGCTCACGGGCTCAGCCACTCCGCGGCATGTGGGATCTTCCCAGACTGGGGCACGAAACCATGTCCCCTGCATCGGCAGGTGGACTCTCAACCACTGCGCCACCAGGGAAGCCCAGCAGGCGGATTCTTAACCACTGCGCCACCAGGGAAGTTCCATCGGTGAGACTTTATTCACATATTTATGCTCCCTCCCAGCGGGGCTGGGTCCAGACCACAGCTCCGCGTCTAGGCTGGGGGCTTGGGCGGGAGCCCTGGCCCTGGCCCTGGTCCTGGTCCAGGACAGGCTGGGCTCACACATGCTGCCTCCTGTGCCGCAGCACCTCCGTGGGTGTGAACAGAAAGTCCTTCTGGCAGGCCTCGCAGTGGTAGGGCCTCTGCAGGGCGGATGCCTTCTGGAGGGGCTCGGGGGCAGCCTCCTCAGCCCCTAAGGGAGAGGAGATGGGAGGCTGTGAGGGGGACGCTCCATTGCATGCTCTCACCCCCACCCAAATCCCAGAAAGCTGGCGGGGTTAGGCTCTCTCCTGGCCTCTGGGGACTCCAGCTCTGTGTCCTCCAGGAAGCCCTCCTTGATCAATACACACACAGAGGCGAGTCTTTACTCTGTGTTCCAGGGGGTGAAAGGGACACAGAGAAAGACACAAGCAGAGACACAGAGACGGAAAGAGACAAACAGAGCCCTGGGGTGGGACCACGGGGCCCTACAGCCATCTCCCCAGCAAGCACCAGCGGGTGGTGCATGGGGCACCGCAGAAGACTCTGTGCCCGGGCCTGCCCACTGCAGCGTCCCCTGGCTGACAACAGGATGGACGTGGCCAAGGCAGAGAGAGCTGTGGGACAGAGGAAAGAACAAGAGACACGGCAAGAGAGAGACAGAGAAACAGACAGGAACACAGAGGCCAACCGGACAGGCGGAGACACAGAGACCAAAGAGAGACAGACACCACGACCTGAGAATGAGGTGGCTGCAGGGCCTCCTGGTCCCGGGCTCTGGGTCCTTGTGACGGAGTCTGCACGTGGCCCCAGCCAGGGCAGACGGCTGAGGTCGTGAGTCCCCAGAGTGTCGAGCAAGTGCCCAGACGCACAGTCAACAACCACAGGCTGGACAGACAGCTGGGCAAACACAGGCGCCCCGGCCGCCACAGCCCCAGCCTCACCTGGGGGACCGTCCTGTGGGGCCTCGGGGCAGGTGCTCTCGTGGGCGATGCGCTCCAAGGGCGTGAAGGGCATGTGCAGGTCGCAGTGGGGGCAGGTCCAGAAGGTGCGGAGACAGTCGCTGTACAGGTCCGCGTCGCTCTGCGACAGGCAGGCTGTGTCAGGCCTGGCTCCCCCCCGCCCCCCGCCGCCAGCCTGGGACCTTCCCAGAACCCCTCGGGGCTGGCAGGCCCCTTTCTGAAACTGCATCCCTGGACTAAGCTGGAGTGCGGTTGGGGGCAGATGGTGGGGGGAATCACTGATGTCGCATTTTCAGGGGCAGGAGGATGAGGGGCCAAGGTGGGGTCCGTGCTCACCGTGAGGCAGCTGTAGGTGAGGAAGTCAGTGACTGCGTAGCCCCCTTTGGTGGGATGGGGGGACGGGGTAGAGCAGCCAAAGAGGCCAGGGAGGCTGGGGGCAGCAGTGATGGTCTGGGGTCCCACATAGAGGTTCTGGATTTCCAGCCCTGTGAGCCGCCGGAGGCTGTAGGAAACCTGAACAAAGAGAGACAGTAAATAGGGGAGAGAGACTCAGGCAGACATGATCGGAGCACCTGGATCCAGCCGTGCCGAAAGTCCACCCCTGGGCTTCTCAGTTATGGGGGCTAATTGCAACACGGTTTCAGATACTCATGACCACAGGCTTGTCTAGAACATTCCCTGATGCCCCATCCCCCATCTCACCTGCCTTCCCCAGAGCCCTTCTCTCCTTATGACTGCTGGAAACACATCCAGACCTTAAGTCTGACCTTCAAGTCTGGCCACCTTGCCCCTTCTCCTCCAGCACGTCAGCCTGTTCCCCTTTCCCTGGTCCACTGGGTCGCACCCCATCCACGTGTAATAGCAATAGACTCAGGAGCAATTCTCAACCCCCCGCCACTTAAAGAGGTGGGGGATCAGTTTCAAATCTGCTCCGTCTGAATTCTTCCCATCTGTCCTCCACGAATAGACAGATACCTTACAGCTTCCCTCTCACACCCTGCACGCCCTTAACTGCTAACGAGGGGTAACCTGCACCACACATGCAGCATGTATTCATAAACATCTGTTGAATGAGGGCCGCAGGGGTTAATGGCATGGCTCCTGGGGTCAAACCCTGGCTCCCCCCTTACCAGCTGTGTGACGCTGGGCTTGTCATCAACCTCTCTGGTTTGAAAACCCCCAAATGTGTGCATATTGATGAGCTGGAAGCCAGGCCTTCCAGAGCTTTCATCCCTATGGCTGATGGCCCCTCTGGCCAAGGGGGTGCAGGTGCCCAGGAGGCGGGTACCTTGGACGCCGTGAACTGCAGCAGCTCCCTGCTCAGGGCTGCCACCTCCTTGCGGTTGACTGGGTCCGTCTCCTCGTCGTCTTTGTCCTCCAGCCGCCACCGGGCCTGGTGGGCCAGCTGCCGGTCCAGGGCACTTTCCCAGTGGGCCCGGAGCCGCAGGGAAGCCGCCAGGAGCCGGACAGCGCTCTCACTGTCCACGAGCTGGAGCTCCAGCCAGCCATCGGCCACCAGACGGCAACAGTCACCACTGGTGTCCAGGGACCGGCTGAACAGCAGGAGGGACTGGAAGAGAAGGGGCGGGGACAGGCAGTGGCGGGAGGGGGAGGATGCCATCGCAGAGAGGCCCCCCGCCTGGCTGGGCTCCTGCCCACCCCCCACTCACCCACCCACCCAGCCCTGCAACAAATACTGACCACACGCCTACTCTGTGCCAGACACTCTTCCGGGTGCCAGAGACACAACGTGAACAAGATGGACTCAGTCCTCGCCCCACGGAACTGAAATTCTACTCGGAGAAAGAGACTAATGAAGACTAAAGAGTAAAATACAGAGCAGGTTCCAAGAAGTCAGGGGCAGGGGAGTCACCGCCTGCGCTGGAGGCCAGTGGCCGTCTCTGTCTTCCTAGGGTTGGGGCTACACGTGTGTGTCTTTGTCAACCTTGTCAGATGGTGTGCTTAATATGTGTACGTGTCACTCTCTATACCTTTTATCTCAGAATATATAAACAAACACTGAATGTTAGTTAACAGGAAGCGTGCTGGAGTGCTTACAGGTGAAGGGTACTGATGTCAGCAACTTACTTTAAAATGCATCAAGAAATTCAAAGGAAAGCCCACCTGTTAAAATAGACTGACGAGTGGAGAGGTGATAAAGCAAAGACCGAATGTTAGCTGCAGGACTGGGGAGTGGGAATATTGAGTGTTCCCTCTACACTTCTTTCAACTTTTCTCTGGGGAAAATCCTGTGGGATGGGGCGGGGGTGAGTGGACAGGGCAGGGCTCGCCGCGGGCTGAGGGTCTGCGGGGCTGGTGATAGAACATGAGAGTCCAGTGTGCTATTCTACTCTTGTGCACGTTTGAAAGTCTCCATCGTCAGAAACTACGGGGCAGGGGCAGGGCGGGGGGGATTGAGTATCAGGCAGCATCTCAGCCAGCAAAGCCGTGTTTCTGTCCCGAGGTCCTGCTGACCACCAGCACTCCGGCCCTCACCCCACTTCATTCCTCCTCCGGCACTGGTACAGCATCTGGTGTGGTCTCTTACATTTGTGCTTCTCTTTGCCATCTGCCTCCCCCACTCATACATGAGCCCCGCGAACACAGGGAATCTTGTCCATTCTGATCACGACCGCATTCCCAGCACCCGGAAGAGCACTTGGCGGCTGGTGCCAGGTGGCCACTCAGTACATGTTTGAACGAAGACATAACGGAGCAGATCAGAGTTCGCTTTCTTGGTGCCAGTGGAAATCAGCGTCAACAACATCTCCCAGGGCTCTAGGAAGGGTTTCTCTCTTCCCTCTATGTTCCCTGGGATGGAAGCGAGGGGGTCGGGGTAACGGGGACACCCACCTGATGGGGGGAGGCCTCAGGTGTGGCCTGTGACCCTGAGTTCAGGCTCAGCCACTTGCTCACTGTGTGGCTTAGTCAAGGGACACGCCCTCCTCCTCACTGCCCCCTGCACCCAGCCCCATCTTCTCCCCTATAAAGCGAGACTTGTGGCCAGGCCTGGAACCGCAGGGTGGCCACAGTGGGCACACAGGTGTGGCAGCTACTGCTGTCAGGAACCCCCCTTCCTGGCTGCAGACACACATACGCACGTATATCTGCAATCTGAGCACGTTCTCAGCCTCCAGCACCATCCGCTTCTGCCCTACGACCTCAGTCGCCTCCTTGCTGGGCTCCTGGCCTCTGCCCCGTGTCAGACCCTGTCCCGGCTCTGCTCAGAACCCTCTGGTGGTGGGGGGGAGGGGGATCCAGTCTCACCTGCCTCCCTGACCTCTTCTCCAGCCATGCTCCCCGTCACTGACTCTGCTCCAGCTGTTCCCTGTCCACACCAGGCACGTGGTGCCTCAGGGCCTTTGCACTTGCTCTTCGCTCTGCCCAGGACACTCTTCCCGCAGAGATCCCTATGGCTTCCTCCCTCCCTCAGGTCTTTACTTGACTGCACCTTCTCAATAAGGCCCACCCGGATCGCCTAATTCTATACTAGAACCTCTCCCCTCCCCTGCCCCCCCACCCCCCCCCCCCCCATGCCCTCACCCGTTCTTTTTATTTTCCCCAAACGCTTATCGCCCTCTACCCTATCAGTTAGTGCCGCACTGCGTTTAGTGCTCCTGCCCGCCCTCCCCCCACCAGATGTGAGCTCCTGGGGAGCAGGAACCGGCTCTTGCCCTGTGCACCTTCCAGAGGTCCTGGCACCCGGCAGGCACTCCGTGAGTCATGAATGACAGCAGTCAGCCTGGGGGAGGGCAGCTCCTCCAGGCCCACCTGGGGCCCACTGCCCTGGGACACAGCCATGGCACGGGGAGTTGGGAGGCAGGGAGGCTGGGGCGAGGACCCACCTGCAGAGCGGGGATGCGGACACAGTTCACCAGGTACGGTTTGTTGGTCTCCAGCAGGGAGACGAAGGTGAGGAGCTGGTGCCTGCTGCTCATCTTGTCCTTGTCATCTGGAAGGGTCGAGGGGACAGCTCAGCTCCCCGCCACACCCCACACCCGTCATCCCCCAGTGGCTGCCTGTCCCACCCGGGCCATTCACACGTCCACACAAAGAACGTGCTCACGTGTGTCACGGTGAAATGCCTGTGGCTTATTCTTAACTACTCTGCCGGGCTGGATGTGATTTTGGCTATGCAGTGACACTAAGAACTATTGTTAATTTTGTTAAGGGTGACGACAGCATTGTGGTGATGCAAAAAACCAATCCTTATGAATATGATTTTTATTATTATTACTAACTGGTAAGATGTCTGGGACCTGCTTTAACATGCTCCAGCAAAAAGAAAAAAAAATCAAGGGGACAGAATAAACAAGGATGGAAAAATGGTGACAGCTACAGCTAGGCAAGAACACGGAGGCTTCCTCACACACTCTCTACTTGCAGAATGCCTGGAACTTACAAAATGTTTCCAAAAAGGAGTAAAACAATGTAATAGGAAGAGGGTAAATTCACTTGGAACTTGCAGCACTTGAAGATTAGAGAGAAAACTTCAAATTCTATCTTTGGTATTTAAAATCATAACCCGCGCCTTTGGGGATTACCGTTTGCCATTTTAGTGCAGTATGTTACTTCTTTACAAACAGAAGGATGAGCTGTGTGTCTCAGCGCTCAGGCAGAGCACACAGCTAGACCTTCACGTTGCAGACGTGAAGCCCGCTCCTGAGGGCAGGGCCTGCACCTGGGGAAGGGCACCCTGGTGGGACTGGCCTGGCCTGAGTGCAGCCTCAGCTGAAGCGACTTTTGTGGCCTGGATCCCACTAGAAGGTAGACCGAATCCAACTGCCTGAACGCTGGGGCTGGGGGAGCCCCCCAGGCAGGACCAAGCCCTGAAGTTCACGGGGGTCCCGGGACAGGTCTCCTGGCAGGCGCTGCTCTAATTGCTAAAACCTCAGGCCTTGGGACGGGCTCGGGGCTCGGGGCAGCCAGCACCTCATGGGGAGGGCGAGGCTCAGCAAGGGGTGGACTTGCCAAGGCCACCAGCCAGGTCTGGCTCTTGGGACCTGCAGGTCCCACGTCAGCAGTCCCAGAGAAGGCAGAGTGTGGGGAGGAGCGAGGAGGTAACCCCAGACGGCGAGGGGCACCCTGAGGTCACTGTCCTGCCCCTCACGTCCCCGATGGAGGGCTTCCCCCAACCCCCGCCTGGGGTCATGGTACCTCGGCTCCCATCGCCGCCCCTGGCCTCCTGTTCCTGTGTGTGCAGCACCTCAGGGCTGTTGGCGAAGATGCAGGTGGGGTGCAGCACGGCGCCCTGCTTGGTCTCGGTGTGGAAGATCTGGAGAAGCCGAAGGCGGGCGCTGGGTGACAGAGGCCCTCAGACTTGCTCTTCCCGCTGCCAGGTTCCCTCCTCCTCATCTCAACTCAGAAGGCTCCTCCTCCAGGAAGCCCTCTCTGACCTCCTCCAAGGCTAATCAGGTCCCCCTCAGCCCCTGGGTCCCCATCCCGACCCCAACCACTCTGGTCATCTGTCTGGGGAGTCTATCCCCTGCCCCCGCCACTAGACTGCAGCCCCACAAGGGCATGGCCAGGGCTGTTTCAGTCACTGCTGTATCCCCAGCACAGAGCAGGTGCTGGGAAGGGGTGACAGACGACAGAACACACACAGGGACGGGGAGAGGGAAGGAGACCCACCTGGTCCGAGTCCTTGCGGCCACTGTTGAACGGGTCCGGGATGGCAAGCTGTGGGTAGAGGCCCCGGCCCAGCACCAGCTTGAGCAGGGCCATCTGGTCCCGAGTCAGGGCCTGGGCTGAGCTGGCGGCCGCCTGCAGCTGTTCCAGGTTGTGCCGGAGCTTAAACTTCACATCCTGGTGGCAACACGGGGGAAGGTGGGTTCCTGAGGGCCCTCCCCACTACCCCAGGGGCTTGTACTGGAATCTGTGGATCCAAGGGTTTCTGTAGACTCCTGTCCATGGAAACCTGCCTACTGAATGAGGGCAGGGCTGTGTCCTCTCAGACCCCAGAGCAAGGCCATGTCCCATAAGACCCCAGGGCAGCCCACATCCCCGCTCTGATCAACTCCATCCCCACCCACCCCAGGCGCCAGTCAGCCCCACGGCGCCTCACCTGGATGTCCACGTTGTCGCCGCCCCCCTGGGTGGCTGCGCCGCTCCGGTCCTCATCGCTGGAGCAGCCGTCCTGGTCCTCCTGGAGCCGCAGCACCTTGCGCCTGCGTCCCTGGCCCTGCTCATGCTGGCGCTTCAGCTGGTAGAGCGCCTGGCGCTCCCGACGCTGCCGTAGCCGACTGTAGCTGTCCCCCGGCTTCGAAGCCTGGGCCCTGGCCAGCAACCCGTGGTCTTCCAACAGCTCCTGGGGGCGGGTGGGGCCCGAGTGAGGGACGCGGGGCAGGCCAAGCGTGCTCTGGATGCAGCACGTTCCGGTCTGGGGCCTGCTGCTGGTGGCACAAGACCTCACCCTTAGAGCCACACTTTTCCTCAAATGAAGAACAGGGACCTTCCTGGGGCCTCCCTGCTAGGGCTGTTAGGGCTGAAAGGGGCTGTATGAGAACAACTCTTTGCACGGTGCCGGGCACACGACTGCTCCAGGAAAGAGCCGTCTCTGTCATCGGCCAACGGAACACCTGGGCCAGCCGCCAGGAGGGAGGAGAGGAGGCCGGGCCATCACCACCCAGGGTCCTCCCCGGGGGCCTCCTCTGCACACAGTCGTCACCAGGCTCCGGGTACGCTCAGAAATGCCAAGACCTGGGCCCCATCCCAGAATGACTGAATCAGAATCTCAGGAATCTGGATAGCACGGACCCTCCCTGTGATTCCAATGCACATTAGAGACCTACTGCCCACGCCTTTGGAAACAGTCTCCCAGGGACCTACTGCATCGGACCTTCTGTTTCTCATCGAGCCCCGACCAACGAGGAGAGATAGGATATCATATGTGACTCAGAGTGAGAGAGAGAAAAGGACCCACACTTTTCATTAGTTTCTCAGCATCTGGGGCTCAACAAAGGTTGGACCGTCGCTCTTTAGAAAGTCAGACATGTTGAGAGATGCCGAGAACAGCTGGGATGTTGGTGGTCCCCAACATGGAGCCCCCGTGATAGTGTGGGAGGCCTTGGCGCTGACCGTCCACTCTGGGCCGCAATCTGCCCTCCCGCAGCCGAGAGGAACGGTTACCCCAGGGGCTCTTTTATTTTCGCTCCGTGGCACGCTACACGACCGCGGAGAAGTACTCGGCACCGGATCTTTTTGTGCTCGAATGGAAAGAGGCCCGTGGAATATTAACAACACAAGCAAGCTGTGGAACCACATCCTCTTTTCCTTTTTTTTTTTTTTTTTTTGCGGTACGCGGGCCTCTTACTGTTGTGGCCTCTCCCGTTGCGGAGCACAGGCTCCGGATGCGCAGGCTCAGCGGCCATGGCTCACGGGCGCAGCCGCTCCGCGGTCTGGGATCTTCCTGGACCGGGGCACGAACCCGTGCCCCTGCATCGGCAGGCAGACTCTCAACCACTGCGCCACCAGGGAAGCCCGAACCACATCCTCATAATGACGATGAAAACTGCAAACACTTGTATGGGAACACCTGGGTGTCGGGCCCTTCTAAATGCTCTAGGTGTATTAACTCATTTAATCTTCATGGGAACGCTGGGAGGCAGGGGCTATTTTTGGCCTCCCTGTTTTCAGAGTGAGAAGCTGAGGCCCCGAGAGGCCCAGTAACTCCCCCAGGGTTGCACTGCTAGCAAGCGGCAGAGCTCAGATTCACTGCTGGGATGTCCGGCTCCAAATCTGGTGCCCCGTGAGGCCTGCTGGCACTCGGCCAGCTCGGCTCCCCCACTCCAGAGAAGGCGGCTTTTTGTGAGGATGCGGCTTGTGACCCTGTCCACCCCTCCAGGAAACCCTCCTGGATCTCTACTCCTTTGCCCGGGCCGCACTCCACACCTGGTGATGTGACGGTAGGGGAGGCGGGTGTAGGGTGGGACTCTGATGACTGTCAGAGGATGGGAAGCCGTGCCGCAGAAGGTGTCATGCACACCCCACTCCAGCGCCCCCCACCCCCGCTCGCCAGGTCTGTTCCTGGCCCTGTCTGCCTGGGCAGGCCGGCCCTCACCCCTCCTCCCGGGCCTCACCTTGAACTGGCGCCGCAGGTTGGCCATCTCATACAGCCGATGCTCCTCTATGCCCCGGTGGCGGCACCACCTGCGAGAGTTTCTGCTCCGTTCAGATTTCACCTGGGTGGAGGTCCGGCCACCAGAGGGTCAGGGCCTGGCCAGCTGGGAGGAGGGATGGGGGTGCCGACCCACTGCCCAGACGAACCCAGTGTGAGCCCAAACACCAGCCTCTGCGAGGATGGCAGGCAGGCCTGCCGGCCCTCCCTCAGCACCACCTGCTCTCCTCCTTCTTCCAGGTCTCAGCCCCACTGCCCCCTCCTACAGGAAGCCCTCCCAGACACCACATGGGGTCAGACACCCTCCCTGGGCTCTCCCAGCCCCTTTGGACTCCCCATCACAGCCCATTCTGGCTGGTCACTGTCCAGGGACAGTCTCTCTCCTGCACTGAGCTGGGAGCCCCAGGAGGGCCGGGCCAGGTAGTTTTAGTCACCACTGGGTCCCCAGCACTGCCCAGAACAGGACCCGGCCCGGTCAGGGAACGTGTGCTCAAGATATAGCCCCCAGCCTAAGGCATCTGAACTTTCTCCAGATGGCACTGGCTTTCGTCAGTGCTTTAGAAACCTCAGGCTCCCCCTCAGGCGGGGGCCTCTGCACGTGCTGGTCCCATGAATGGTGGAGTCAGGGTCCTCCCCAGACAGGCCCGGCCTGCGGAGGGCTCAGTGGTCGTCCCTGGGGTGGCAGTGGGGGCACAAGGAGGAGCCACAGCCTCAGGGAGGCCCTGGCCCCGTGCAGAACGACAGCCAGACGGGGCACCCTGCTGTCAACCTCACCTGCACCCAGGTGTTGAAGACGTTGAAGAGCGTGAAGGGGTCACCCTGGTCACTCTCCAGGGGTCGCCGCGCCGCCACACACTCGGGGTTGCTCTGGGCGCCGCGGGTGAAGGGCGACTGGACGCTGAGGGCGGCGGCGATGGTGAGCACAGGCTCCGCCAGGTGGAACATGGAGCCCAGGATCAGCATCTTCCCTGGGGGCAGACACTGCGCTGAGCCTCCTGGGCGCCTGACAGCGTCCCCAGCCCTCTGGGGCCCCTGACCCACCCTCCACCTCACCCACAAAGGGCCTCGGGAGCCAGAGGGACAGAATCAAACCCAGAATCGGATCCCAATGTGATGGAAGACTGTTTCCACCTGCCCCAAGGTCAGTGGCCTGCATGTCACACATCTGACTCACCCTCACTGTTCCCCTTGCCTACCTTTCCAGAAAGTTCCTGTTACACATGTAGCCTCATAAGATAAAGTAGGGCAGTAAAACAAGGCTGTCCCAGAACCCCTTAGCTCCGTCACCTCAGGCAAGTCCCTCCTCCCCTCTGTGCCTCTGTTTCCCCATCTGTGAAATGGGTTAACTGCAGCATCTACCTGCTGTGAGGATGAACTGTGCTTCACCTGGGAAGCACTGGGAGCTCCACCTGGCACAGTGGAAGAACGGTAGCTGAGCCACCGGGGCCCAGAACTGCCCAGCACTGCATCATCTGTGTCGCCTGCTCCGCAGGGCCTGGGGACCCACGGTGCCAGCCTGGCTGGGGCGTGCCTCCCTGGCGAGCGAGTGACAGCCTTTCTCTGAGCCTCGTTTTCCTCAACTGTACAACAGGAGCGCCCAGAGGCCCTCCCCTCACCAGGTGAAGATGAAATAAGGGCCACAAAGTCTTCCACTGACGCAAAGCAAATGCTCACAGACTGTTCTCTTTCTTCTCAGATCTGATTCTCCTTGCACTAGCCCTGTTTCCTTCTAAAATAAACAAAAATAACCATTTCCATGGCTGTGGGTGGCCCTCAGGGTTGGTGGTATCCAGGCTGCTGCCCGTACTGACGCTCCAGCGTGTTGCAATGATGGGGACTTTAACGACATTGACGCAGGCAGAAAGCTCCCCTGGGAAGTGGTGCCCCAGGTGGTAGAACTCAGCGAGCAATATTCTCTGGGCCGTGGGTTGTTGGTAGACACAGAATGTCTCAAGTCAGGAGAATTGGGCAAGACAAATATGCCTCGGTCAGCAAGTTCCTCGGCAGGGGCAGGGGTGACTCAGGATGGGCAAGAGGAAGAGGCAGGCGGTTTTGACATCCAACCACAATAGAGGGGGTACCACGTGGAGCTGGGGACAGGCTGTGCAGAGGAGGGAAATGTCTGTTTTGTTTACTGCTGTATCCCTGGCGCTAGAACAGGACCCGACACAGAGGACCTGAGAATGAATGGACAGGGCCCAGAGAAGGACCAGACTCGACCCCGGGGCACTCAGAGCAAGCGGTGTCCCACACCCATTCCCAGGACCCTATGTGATCACCCCAAGGGGGGGTCCTCACCAATCACGACGTCCACAGGCAGCTGGGCCAGCAGGGACCCAATGGGGGTGAGGGCCTCTGAGCTGTCCAGGGCCCCCTGGTCCCGGAGGTAGCGGATGGCCGTTTCCAAGCTGGTTGGTGGGGGGGGGCTCGATGAAGGGAAAGGTTCGGGGGTCCCCCACACTCATGCCCTTCATCTGGAATGAGAACCAAACCCTGTCAGGAACGGGGAACACATGAGCCACTGTGGAACACCGGGGGACTCAGGGATCACAAACTTGTGATACGTTAAAATGCCCAATGTCAAGGTTCATTGTACAGAAGCAGGGAAGGAGGGCCAGTATCTGTCTGTCTGCCTAGCAGCTCTTCTCCACACCCTGGCCATGGAGCGAGCAGACGATCTAAGCTGGACCAACTGAGGTTTCTCAGCCCCTGGTCAGAGCAACTGACTAAGGAATGAGCACATGACCTGAGCTGGGCCATTCAGAATCCTTCCCTGGGACTTTGCGGACTGGAGCTGAGAGAGAGAAGCTCCAGCATCCTCTCTGGTTGTGAGGGGCCAGGATGGAAGCCCAGAGCTGTTGTGGTTAGTTTTTCCACTGCCTGGAAATTAGCCCATTCACAGCAGATGGAGAAATCCTTAATTTTTCCTAAGCTAGACCTCCCCCCAACATGGACACACAAATCCATAAAAGCCCCTTTTCTGCTAACAACAGTTTGAGTTGGGTTTCTCTCACTTTTGACCAAAGCATCCCGACTGATTCAAAGGCCCAGAGGGGTAGCAGGTCACAGGGAGAAAGCAGTGAAACATGTATCATCACCAGGCCTGGCATGGCATAGGGAAACGGCACCTCCCTGGTGAGTGGATGAAGGAAGGGCTGGCATGGTGGCTCCCATGACCATGAGAGAGTGAGAACAAGGCTCAGAGAGACTAGGGGATCCGCCAAAGTCTCTGGGTAAGGTGACCTGCTCTCCTGGGCCTGATCTGGAGGGCACCAGAGGTTCTGGCATCCACCCAGCAGCCAGTGGTACCACCTTCCTCCCTGCTCACTAAGCTATGGTGTTGTCTGGGAGATCACTAATACTCATTAAAAGACCTTTCAATGAGAAGCTCTGGGTGAGGGGTAGGGCACGGCTGTTTTTTGTTTTTTTAAGCACTCTCGTGATTCCAAAGTGTAGCTGAGACTGCGAATCACTGCTCTGATCCAGTTGGGCAATGCCACCCCGCCACCCCGGACAATTACAGGTCACAGAGTGAACACGTGACCTAGTTCTGCTGACAAGACAGGATGGGAGACCAGCCAGGGGGCTTCTGGAAAAGGTTCCCACGGCCTTAAAAATGAGACCCACAAACTGGGAAGTCCCTGGCAGGCCAGTGGTTGGGACTCTGCACTTTCACTGCCGGGGGCCTGGCTTCAATCCCTGCTTGGGGAAGTAAGATCCTGGAAGCTGCTCGGCGCGGCCAAAAAAAAAAAAATGAGACCCACAAAGAGGGGCAGTTCATCGCCTCTGCAGCCAGACAGTAAAGGAGGAGGAGGTGCTGCCCGTGGCTACCAGAGCCAGGTGGCATTCATGAGGCACACTCTGGAGCCTGACAGCCTCAGATGGAAGCCGGGCTCTGCCACTTGCCAGCCAAACCACATGGATCAAGCTACGTAACCTCTCTGCATCCTGTTTCTCATCCATAAATTGGAATAAGTTTACCTACTACAGAGATTGTGTGAGGAGCAAAACTTATATACGTAACTCAGGCACTAGAACAGAGCTAGCACCCCGGAAGTACGAGGTAAGTGCTTTTTATCATCATCATCATCATCGTTATTAGGACAGCTGCTGATAAGCTGAGGCTGGAAAGCTAGAAAAAAACCCTGTTCCTTTATGACATCACCATTCTATTTAAATAACCAAGCCTGGGGACTTCCCTGGTGGTCCAGTGGGTAAGACTCCACGCTCCCAGTGCAGGGGGCCCAGGTTCAATCCCTGGTCGGGGAACTAGATCTCCCATGCCGTGACTAAAAAAACATCCCAAGTGCTGCAACTAAGACCTGGCACAACCAAAAATATAGATATAGATATAGATATAGATAGATAGATAAATAAATAACCAAGCCTGGAATTTCCCTATCTCAAGGTTTCCTGTTACGTGAAACAGTACGTTTTCTGTGTTGTTCAAGTCAGCATTTTTCAAACAGCAGGTTATGTGAGTCAGGAACTCCATGACATGGGTCGCAACTGGCATTTTTTTAAAAGGAAATCAAATGGATAGAAACAATGAGTGTGCATCACCCATAGGAAAGGGGGCTGGTTCATGCCTCTCTCTCACCTGGGCACGTGTGAGCCTGAGGCAGATGCCACCTGCTGTTCCCCATTTTCAATTTCTGCTTCTTCCTGAGCACAGAGACTACACTTCCCAGCCTCCCCTGCAGTGAGGTGTGGCCACAGAACCGAGCTCTCGCCAGGGTGAGGGGAAGGGAAGTACACTGTGGACCTGGCCCTCACACCCTCCCAAACGTAAGTCCCACGCTCTCTGCCCATCGCTGGCTGACACACATGATGAAGACGCCCCAGGGAGATGATGGAGCCGTGAGAGGAAAAAGGCCCAGGTCTCTGAATAAAGGAAGCTGCCCACCAACCCAAGGACTAACGTTCTGCTGTGTTGGCTGTTATGTGAGTGGGTCTATTTGTCACAGCAGCCTAATCTAAGCAAATGACGTCTAAGCCATGACATAAAATGTACTGAGAAATCCCATTTTTTTTGGTTTGTTTTCGTTTTAATAAATTTATTTATTTATTTTTGGCTGTGTTGGGTCTTTGTTGCTGTGCGCGGGCTTTTCTCTAGTTGCAGCGAGCGGGGGCTACTCTTCGTTATGGTGCGAGGGCTTCTCACTGCAGTGGCTTCTCTTGTTGCGGAGCACAGGCTCTAGGGGCACAAGTTTCAGTAGTTGTGGCATACGGGCTCAGTAGTTGTGGCTTACGGGCTTAGTTGCTCCACGGTACATGGGATCTTCCTGGACCAGGGCTCGAACCCATGTCTCCTGCATTGGCAGGCAGATTCTTAACCACTGCGCCACCAGGGAAGCCCAAAACCCTGGTTTTAAAAGCCACTTCTTGATGGGTTTTCTGTTACAGCTGAAAGCATTGTGACTGAGTCACAAGGTTCTTCCCATGACCCTGTGGATTTGGGGGAACAGTTCTCCCCTCAATACGGGATCTGACATTTGGAAGGAATGAGTTCCACTCAGTGGCCTGGCCAGCCCTGCCCTTCCTGACCCTGAAACCATGTCTAAATGCCTCCTGGGTTCCTCTCTGGCACCAGCACTCAGGATGCAGTCCCCTACCAGCCCCTGCCTCACCTGCAGCACCAGTGCATCCAGGGCGACCCTCCGAATCTCCGGGACAGGGTAGGGGGCGAAGGCATCGTAGTCCGATTCGGCATAGAGGCGGAAGCAGACACCAGGGCCCGTGCGGCCCGCCCGGCCCTTACGCTGCTCAGCACTGGCCTGACTGATCCAGAACTCCTGCAGCCGCTGCAGTTTGGCCTGCGGGTCATAGCTCATCTCCTTCACCTTCCCTGGGTGGGCAGGAGGGTAGCAGGGAGGGAAGGGAATGTGTGTGCAGGAGCCATGTGGGCCCTCCATGTGCCTGGCCCTCTACCCAGCCGTTCACTCACTGACACCCTCACTTACTCCTTTGTTCCAGTAACACTAACTGAGAGCTTACTCTTGGCCCCACCCTACCATTTTGTTAATGTATTCTTTAGTTTCCTCATTCATTTATCTTTTCATTTATTTTCTCAAGCCTTTTCTTACTCAGAGGTTCAGTCATCCAACATAAAATTATGGAATCTTTTATCGTCAGTGGCATCAGATTCAATACAATAAGATAACTGCTGACATTTACTGAGCATTCACCCTGTGCCAGGTTCCAGCCTCAGCCCCCAAATGTATTAACGTCTTTAATCCTCAACACCTGAGGGAGGTGCTGTTATGATTGCCATTTTACAAATGAGCAAACTGACGCACTGAGAGTCACACAGCCGGCAGTGTACCTGCAGGCTGGCCCCAGTGCCTCCTCGCCACTAGGCTATGCTGACTTTCCAGAGAACAGTCTAGTTGGGAAGACAGACAATAACAGATCTTGATCTTAAATAGATCAAGATATATAAAATATAATGCCCATACTATGGACAGATCTTGATCTTAAATAGATCAAGACATATAAAATATAATGCCCATACTATGAAGAAAAATAAAGCCTCATAAGGGAAGTGACAGTGAAAGGAGATCACTTAGATAAAGTGAACAAGTGGGCTTCTCTAATGGGGAGACATTTGCGCAGGTCCTGAAATAAGGTGAGGGAGTGAGCCGTGTAAAAATCTGGGGAGAGACAGCTCTCTGCAGAGACGACAGTAAGTGCAAAGGCCCTGAGGCAGGAGCAAGCTAGGAAGGCCTGAGCAAGATTAAGATGCTGCCACTGCTACACAGCCCTAAACACTACCTCCTCCCTGCTGTGGTCCAGAGTTCCCTCACTACATGTGCACAGCTCCAAACCCCACACTTCTCACCAGATCCTTGAGGTAGCTGGGGGGCAGCGCTTACCAGAATCTACGACAAAGCGGATCCCATCAATGGTGACTGAGGTTTCAGCGATGTTGGTGGAGAGGATGCACTTCCGGACTCCAGGTGGGGCCACGTCGAACACCTGGGGTATAGTGAAGAGGCGGCATCAGTGCCTTGTCTTTCTCTCACCCCAGGCCCTCTGCACAACTAACTCGGCACTCACTAACCCATGTGTCCAGTGGCCTCCTGGATGTCCCACGGGCACCTCACAGCGATATGTCTAAAACAGCCTCAGCACCTTCTACTGAACCCTTCCCTACTCGGGCCCCCATCTTAGAGATGGTTCCTCATCTACTGCATCACCGGGACCAGAACCTGGGCTGTCCTGGGTGTTCCCTCCCTTCTCACCCACCCTGCCACACCAGATCATCTTGAACATCTCATGAATTCACTCCCTCCTCCCCAAACCCAGAGCCCCTGCCCTGCTCCACGCCCCTCCTTTCCCACCCCAATCCCGCTCCAGCTTCCTCCCTGGTCTCTAGTCTCATCCCCTCCCATCCAGCCTTCACATGCAGCAGAGGGATCTGCTAAAGCACAAACTGGCACTGCCCACCACCTTGCTCAGAACCTTCCCATGACCCCCCTCCAGTGCCCTCAGGACAAAGCCCACCACCACAATGGGTCTTCAAGGTCCCTGGTGGTCTAACCCTGCCCACCTCTCCAGTCCCATCTCTCCTGACTTCCCCTTCACAGTCTGGACCCAGCCACTTTGAGTGCAGTTTCCCAGCTGTCCCATCTTTCTCTCACCCCAGGCCCTTTGCACAAGCCCTTCTCATGGACCCAAGAGACAGCCAAGCACAGTGGTTAAGAGTGGCTGTCAGCAACTGCAGCCTGCAGGCCAAATCCACCCTGCCACCTGTTTTTGTACATCAAGTTTTAATGGAACACAGCCTCACCAGGTCAGTCTACAGCTGCTTTCTACCTGTAATAGTAGAGTAGTTACGACAGAGACCATCGAGCCCATAAAAACTAAAAATCTGCCCTCTTCACAGAAAGTCTGCCAACCTCTGGTTAAGAGTATGGGCTCTGGTACCAAACTACCAAGTTCTACAGCCTGGCTCTGCCAATTATGTGACTTTGCATAAGTGCCTACGCCTCAGTTTCTGTATCTATTGAATGGGGACAACAGGACCTGGCAGACAGGGCGGCTGTGAAGCTTAGAGACAAGGAGTGCACAGAGCTCAGGACTCTGCCCAGCACAAAACCAGTGCTCCACACGCTTCAGCTGGGACACGCTTCTCCTCACCCCCTTCCTAGAATGGGGCTTTCTCAGGTCTCCACGTACAGAGTCCCTTCCTCCAGGAAGCCTTTCCTGAATCCACCAAGACTCTGCTCTCAGAGTATCCAGAGTTCTCCTCTACCACTTGTGGGATTGTCAATTACTTGTCTATCCCCCCTCAGTGGACCAGCAGCTTGAGGGGAAGAACCATATCTCAGCTCCCACTGTATCCCAAAGAGGCCCCTTGGAGCAAGGGGAGCACTAAGGAGGTGCTCAAAGCTTGTTTCCTTAATCACTAAACAACCAAGTCTGACCTGAAGGGATTCTTCTGGAGGTGACTATGGTAGTCAGCCTCCAGGACAGCCTGGGGGAGTCTCAACTCCCGGGATCCACACCCTCACCCAGTACCTTCCCCCTGAACAGGGCAGACCGGGTAAAAAACTAAGGGATAGGGCTTCCCTGGTGGCGCAGTGGTTAAGAAACCACCTGCCAATGCAGGGGACACGGGTTCGAGCCCTGGTCCAGGAAGATCCCACATGGCGTGAAGCAACTAAGCCTGTGCGCCACAACTACTGAGCCTGTGCTCTAGAGCCCGCGAGCCACAGCTACTGAAGCCCACATGCCTACAGCCCATGCTCCACAACGAGAAGCCACCACAATGAGAAGCCCACACACTGCAACGAACAGTAGCCCCCACTCGCCACAGCTAGAGAAAGCCCGTGCGCAGCAATGAAGACCCAACGCAGCCAAAAATAAATAAATAAATTTAAAATTAAATAAATAAAATAAAACTATCTACTATCTGGAAATTAAAAACAAAAACCAAAAAACACTAAGAGATACTGTAGAAATGATGGTTTGTGATTTCCAAAGCTAGGTCATAAAAGATGCTGTGGCTTCTACTTTGGTCTCTTGGGAAGAGCCAGCCACCATATCATGAGGACACTCAAACAGCCCCCTAGAGAGGCCCCCAGCCAACAGCCAGCTCCACCTGAGAAGATAATCCTCCAGCCCCAGTCAAGCCTTCAGATGAGAGCATCCCCAGCTGACATCTGACTGCAACCTCATGAGAGACCCTGAGCCAGAACCATCCAGCTAAGCTCCTCCCAGATTTCTGATCTACAGAAACTATGTGAGATAATGCATGTAACAGTAAACGTGCTGCTAGGTTTGGGGGTAATTTGTTATACAGCAATCAATAACTAAGACAGTGACCCAAAGGCCTCTCTCCCAGCACCCTTCCATTCCAACCAGGCAGCCTCTTCACCTTTCCCCACACTCCACTCAGGTTTCCACCTCCAGGCCTTTGCTCAAGCTGGTTCCCCCAACCTGGACTGCCTTCCTCCCTCTTCTCCTACTCAAAACCCTCCTTGTTTGGGGCTTCCCTGGTGGTGCAGTGGTTGACAGTCCGCCTGCCAATGCAGGGGACACGGGTTCACGCCCCGGTCCAGGAAGATCCCACATGCCGCAGAGCGGCTGGGCCCGTGAGCCATGTCCGCTGAGCCTGCGCTCCGCAACGGGAGAGGCCACAACAGTGAGAGGCCCGCGTACCGCAAAAAAAAAAAAACAAAAAAAAAACCAAACCCTCCTTGTCCTCCAAAGCTCAGCTCCAATGCCTCCCACCTCATCAGGAACTCAAAGATGGGAGCAGCCCCTCTGCAGCCCACAGCCCTGGCTTGTGGGGTCACATCTGTCCTGCATTAGCTGCCCTCAGCCCCCCCAGACCCCCATCTGCCCCACGTGGCCTGGCTGCATGCGCCACCTTGTCCTGGTCGGCCACAGAGAGGGCACTGTGCAGCGGCAGCACCGCCCAGCGCTGGGTGTGGCTGGCGTAGGTCTGGGCGGCCTCGAGCACGGCGCTGATCTCCGCCATGCCACTGAGGAAGACCAAGAGGTCACCCCGCTCCTCGGGTGGGTACTTATTGTCAATGGCCTCCAGCACCCTGAGGAAGGGCCGCGGGTCCAGCTTCTCCGACTTGGATGTTGTCGGCTCGGCCTCCTGCGGCTGGTACACAACCTGTGAGGAGACAGCCCCAGGCAGGAGCATACCTTGTCACTCCAGCTCCCAAGCAATGGGGCGAGGAGGCCACAGGCTGACAGAGAAGACACAGATCAGTCAGGCAGCAGACAGCACACTCAAAGACGGTATCTGAGGAGGATGTAATAAAAGGTCGAAGTATCAAGGTAACTGGAAGGTTTCTGGGGTGCTGGTAATGTTCATGTTTTTTAATCTGGGTGCTGGCTCTATACAGGTATTTAATTTGTGAAAATTAATTGAGCTGTACACTTGTGATATGGGTACTCTTTTGTATCTGGAGTATAACTCCAACAAGAACAAAATTTTAAGGGGTGGAGTTGGGATTAAAACACTAGAAATCACTTCTCTGAAAGTAACTTCACTGTTTCTAATGGTTACTTAGAAGACAGACTGATGGGCATTTAGACCCAGAAACCACAAGGGACAGTGCATCTCCTGGGGCTAGGAACCTCAGAGCTCTTATCAATTCTTGGGCCCCAAAACAAGAGGAAGTAGTGGTTATCAAAACCATAAAGGAGGGCTTCCCTGGTGGCGCAGTGGTTGAGAGTCCTCCTGCCGATGCAGGGGACACAGGTTTGTGCCCCGGTCCGGGGCAGCGGCTGGGCCCGTGAGCCATGGCCGCTGAGCCTGTGTGTCCGGAGCCTGTGCTCCGCAACAGGAGAGGCCACAACAGTGAGAGGCCCGCGTACCGCAAAAAAAAAAAAAAAAAAAAACCAAAACATAAAGGAGAGAGCTGTGTGGAGAGACATCTCGAAAAGGAGCTGTGACTTCGGGTGAGGGTCACAGGTCACTGGAGACCTCAGGGGAGGGGCTGACTCTCCTTTTCCCACTGGCCAACCAGAAGGCAGAGGGGAAAGGGGTCCGTTTGTGCCTCCCAGGGAAGACAGGAAGGTGGGGAAGGGACAAGGAGATCTGGAAGGGCAAACAGAAGCTATCGGGCACAGGGACATGTCTGTCTGTGAGTGGGATTCAAGTCCTGGCTCTGCCACTTCTGAGATACTGCTAATCACCCTGTGACGCACAGGGCAGCCAAGAATTACCCAGACCCAAATGTCCAAAGCGCTGAGTCTAGAAACCCTGCCCTGTGAGATGGGAGAGCAATGAGAAAAGAGGAGCCTGGGTCCCTGAACGACCACGTAGAACAGAGCTGCCCATCAGCCTGGACCAGCCACACCTGGCTGGCTTGGGTTATATAAGAAAAATTTATTTCTATGTTATTTGAGCCTTTAAATTTTGGGGTCTCCTCTAACAAGCACTTAGCACTCTATCCAGCACACTGTAAACGCTCCAAAAACAGCAACTTTAAAAAAGAGAGAGAGAGAGAACATCATTAATCAAAGAGATGGGAAACAGAGAAAAAGAGAAGAGAAGGGACATGTCCAGGGTGGCCAGAGGCCAGGTGGGAAGTCTGGGGAGGGGCGAGGGGGGCACTGACCGTGATGGGGAAGAGCCTCCCGGGCACCTGTACCACGGGGGCACTGCCGAAGTAGCTGGAAAAGAGCGAGATGTTGATGGTGGCTGACATGAGGATGACCTTGAGGTCAGGTCGCTGGGGCAGCAGGCGCCGGAGGATACCCAGGAGGAAGTCGTTGTGGAGGTGCCGCTCGTGGACTTCATCCACGATCAGGACCTGGTACTGCGGCAGGCGGGGCTCCCGCTGGATTTGCCTCAGGAGCAGCCCCACTGTCAGGAACACAATCTTGGTGGCCGCCGAGCGTGTGCTCTCAAAACGGATCTGGTAGCCGACCTGGGAGTGGGGGGCAGTGGGAACGTGTGGTCAGGAGAGGACCTGGGCCTGGGCCACAGCCCCTCGCCCTCCCCAAATTGAAAATCTGAGCAAATGTCCCACATCAGATTCTGGAGTCCAACAGGCTTAGGTTCAAATGCAACCTCTGCCACTTAGTGCTGTTGACTTGGGCAACTCCATCCCACAGATGCGTATTTCTTCCTCCTAGATGCGGTGAGAATTACATGTGCTAATGCACATAAAGCACTTGGCACAGAGCCTGAGTATGATACTAATTAATTACAATAGTAATGCTTAGCCCTTCTTTGAGTCCTTTCTATGTACCAGGAACTACTTTAAATCTTTATGTATGTCAACTCACTCCATCCTCACAACTACCACACAGTATAAGCACTAGTGTTACCCTCACCTCAGAAATGGAGAAACAGACACGAGTCATCCAAAGTAAAATCGCTAAAAAGTGTTACTGAGACGAAATGTATCTTAACCCCTACCTCACATCATACACACATAGATTTCAGATGAATTACAGTCCTAAATGTAAAGCTTTTTAGAAAAAAACAGAACATCTTCATGACCTTAAAGTATGCAAAAATTCCTTACACAGAAGCCAAAGGGTGGCAACCATAAAAAGAAAATGACAGACTGTATTATATTTAAATGAAAAGACACCATCATCAAAAGACACCATTCAGAAAATGAAAGGAAACTCACAGAATAGAAGACAAGATTTACAATACATAAATCCTACAAAGGCCTCATAGCCAGATGCTATAAAGACAGATAAATCAAGAACAAAAGCACAGAAAACACAAAAGCGAAATGGGAAAAAGACTTGAACAGACACTTCACAAAAGAGGATCTCCAAATGGCTAATACATACATGAAAAGGCACTCAATGTCCTTAGTCATCAAGGAAACAAAATTAAAACTCACAATGCAGGGACTTCCCTGGTGGTCCAGGGGTAAAGAATCTGCCTTCCAATGCAGGGGACATGGGTTCGATCCCTGGTCGGGTAACTAAGATCCCACATGCCGCAGGGCAACTAAGCCCTCTCGCCACAACTACAGAGAGAAAAACCTGCATGCCACAACTAGAGAGAAGCCCGCGCACCACAAGGAAAGATCCTGCATGCCTCAACAAAGATCCTGCATGCCACAACTACTACCCAACGCAGCCAAAACAAAACAAAACTCACAATGCAAATTAAAATGTGATATCACTACAGACCCACTGGAAAATCTAAAATGAAAATGATTAACCATAACAAGTATTGGTATGACCCAGTGATCCTACCCTTATTAGATATATACCCAACAGCAATATGTACCAAAACACACCAAAAGGCATGTTATAGAATGTTCGTAGTGGTACCATTCACAAGAGCCTAAAACTAGAACTCTCCGCAATGCCCATCAACAGTAAAAGGAACCAATATCTGTGGTGCCTTCACAATGGAATACCATACAACAGTGTGAATGAATGGTGTACATCTACATGATGATACTATAGGTGAGTCTCACAAAACTAATATTGAGCAACAGAGGCCATAACTGGCAATAGTGAGCAAGAGAACATACTTTTTGATTCCATTTATAAAAAGTAAGAAAAAGAGGGACTTCCCTGGTGGTCCAGTGGGTAAGACTCTGCGCTCCCAATGCAGAGGGCCCCGGTGCAATTCCTGGTCGGGGAACTAGATCCCGCATGCATGCTGTGACTAAGAAGTCCGCATGCTGCAACTAAAAGATCCCGCGTGCTGCAACTAAGACCCGGCATAGCCAAAACAAACAAACAAATAAATAAATAAATTTTCAAAACAGTAACAAAAAGAGGAGAAAATAATCTGTGATATTCTATCACCAACACAGGTCTGATAATCTAGCACTAAAATGACGATCTGTCCCTAAGAATAGTGATGACTCTTGAGGCCTCAAGGCAGTAACTGGGAGGCGAAATGAGGAGGTTTCTGGGGTGCTGGTAAGTTTGACTTTTTTACCTGAATGCTAGTTACACAAATGCAGTCAACTTACGAAAATTCACAGAGTTATATACGTATGATACGTGCATTCTTCTGTGTTGAGAGTATGATAACTTCAAAAATTTTTAAGTGGTTGAGCCAGGATTAGAACCCTAGAACTCATTAGTAGGAAGCATCCTCATTCTTTTTTTGTGACTGCCTAGAAAAAGACTGATAAACACGGAGGCATTTCCGATTTTTGACTGTTAAGGTGCTATATTGGGTAATGTTAGTGCCTTTGTCATTTGGACCATCTCCAGGCCAATCGATAGATAAATTTCTACAAGAATCATCGCTGGGTCAAAGGGTAAGGGTTTTTGTAACGATACTGCCATAGGGCAACCAACTTATTCCGCGAGGTCACTGGGAAAAACTGGAAACCTGTTCTGTCCCACTCACCTGTGAGCCATACTGACTGAGGCTCTCAAAGCCGACCCGCTTCGCCAGTGAGATGCAGGCGATTCGCCGGGGCTGGGTGCATGCCACGTGGCTGAAGCCAGCGGCCAGCAGGTACTGGGGCACCTGAGTGGACTTGCCGCAGCCCGTGTCACCTGCCACCACCACCACCTGGTGCTCCTTCAGCGTCTGCAGGATGCGATCCCCATACTGGGCGATGGGCAGTGCCATGCGCTCACGCTGCAGTTTGGCCAGCCGCCCAAACGCCTGCTTCTGGCCAAAGTCCAGGTAGTGCAACAGGGCTTGGCGGAACTCAGACACTCTCTCCGGGGCCAGGCGCCTGCCTAGCCCCCGAGAGCGCCGAGTGTCGGGGCTGAGGACGGAGAGGTTGATGCGGTAGCGTGGGTCATAAGCGCGAGGTAGGTCGGCCAGTGCCGGGATGCTGTGCTTGGGATGCCTAGAGTCTTTCTCGTCCTTCCTGGTGGTCTTGAGATTCTGGAATCTCTGCAAGCGTTCAAAGAAGGTCCAGAACTTCTGGCACTCCTCAGAACCCTGCCGGATATAATCCTCATCACCGAAGAAGGCGTCCTCGAAGAGGCGACGTGTCTCTGGACAATTCCAGTCCCATTTCTCCGGGTCCTCTTCCTGACTGGGAGCCGGGGGTCGGTCTCGGGGACCCCTGCCCTCCCTTGTTCTGGGAGGCGGCATGCCGTGGCTAATCCCGGTGTTGTCACAAAACTGGCCTCAGTTCTGATCACCTAGACCAGATATTCCTCACCTCCTGCAGTGAGAGGCCAGTGCCTGTAATAAGGAAGCACTTTGTCTTCAAAAAGCTAATTTCCTCCTCAGGGGTGCGATAGGATCAAGGCAGGTGCTGGCAGAGTAAATGCCCTGCGGCCTGGGTCAAGCTGGTGACACACAGGGCACCTCATGACTCCTGTGGTGATCTCTGGGATGGACACAAGTTCATGCTGGGATCTCGGGCCCTGAATGTTTGCGGGAGAGAACAGAAGACATTCATTCATTTTTAGAAACATTTATTGAGAGCCTGCTGTTTTGCAAGCACTGGAATGGGGGGAGGGACAGCAATGAATAGGACCACACCGAGTACCCACAGGTGGTCATTTCCCCAGACTCTGACAATCCCGAGATGGAGGCTGTGATAAAGGAAGCCCAGGGGTTGCGGGAGCCTTCCTTGACTGTGCTTGGGAGTCAGGGAAGGATCCCCGGAGGAGGGAATGTTTGACCTGAAGGAATGTAGGTCATGTGGCCAGTCAACAGCAGAACGTGGTCCTGAGAGGTGATAACATGAGAGAGTTGTGGTCCACTGAGTTTCAGGGCTCCTGGGAACCCTTTGAAATCAAGTGCACAGTTTTGCAAGTGTTGCATTATGTCTGTTTTGTTTTTGCCTGCCCGGCAATTCTTTTTCTTTTTTCTTTTTTTTTTCAGAAAAACGTATGCACTTTCCTTTGGAGAGCAGCCCTTCCTGGAATCCACATGGTTCCCACTGCCTTTAAGTGAAGAGAATTCCTACTGGTTGGGCAAGTGACAAAGGCCTGGCCAATCACAGTAACCTACTCCCCCTTTAACCAGTGACTGGTCTGAAGAGCGGACACATTGGCCCGAGGAGGGCCAATCAGGGCCTTTTCCTGGAATTTACACTATGTTATTAGGAGACAAAAGCTTATTTACTGTGGCTAAGCAAGGACAATATAAACAGGGAGCTGTTTGTAGTAGCTCTTAAATAGTCTTTCCTAGAAATCTATCCCACAGAAAAGGCTGCACGTGGGCACAGTGAGGCACACACAAGGATGGTCACCGAGCAACTACAAGGAGAGAAGTGGAAGAGGGACGGGGAGAAGCTTGGCAACATCATTCAATGCCTGAGGCTTAGTTCCCGCCAACCCTCCACTTCATGGCTACACAAGAAAATGTCTTTTTCTTAAGGTTTGGTTTCTGACTCTTAGCTGCGTAAGTCCTAACTAACAAAGCACATCCCCGCGTATGTGCAATTTTCTGGCGCGAAGCCCATCACTCAGATTCTTCAAAGAGTTTATGATCTTAAAAGGGTCCTGAGACTTCCACGGTAAAGACTTCATGGTCAAACAGATCTGGGTTTGAATCGCAGCTTTATCAGATGTGTGACCACTGGCAAATTAAACCCTTTGAGGTTTTCTTCATCTATAAAATGGGGGCAATACCCATCTCAAACACTGCAATGTTTATCACCTAGCCTGGCACAGAGAAGCTAAACGGGTAACTGGCATACAAGTCCAGTGAGAGGAACCACGGGCATACAACCTGGAAACAAATGACACTCAAATGGCCACAATTCACCCTGGTTCATTAGCAATGCTTTCACCTACTCTGCCTTCAGTCTCTGAGGGCCATCACAGAAGAGTTCTGAGGTTCCATCTCTGTAGCCTCAGAGGGACCCAGACCAACCCTGGGAGTTATTAGAGCCAGGTGAGGGTTTCAGTTGAAGAACTTGTGAACTGGCAGAGCTGTTTCCCACAGGAGCAGTAGCCATGTGTGGGGATGTGTGGGGAGTGCACATCACTTCCTGGTAAACACCTGGGCTGCGTGATGCCATGGCACCTTCAGAGGGAATTCCTGTCCTAGAAGGGAAGGAAAAGGCCTTGAAAGACTGCTGTGATGCTGAGCCAGTGTTTCTCAGAAGAAGACAAGGACAATTAGATGGAGGAGAGCGTTCCTCCCAGGCTGCTAACTGCCTGTCCTTGCATGTGGGCTGGAATGAGAGCACCCTCATGACTCTCAAGGAATCCATTCTCTTAAGACTACCTTTTCGACTTCCTGGATCTACTAGTTTCTCTGTAACTGTGTCTCGGACCATCTCTTGGTCTCTTGGCCTGTATTTCCTAGGCTTAAGGCTTTTAGAGGTTTTCTCCGCTTCCCTATTTCTCTCCTGTCTGGCTCTCCATCTTCAGGTCTCTTGTCTTTTTTGGTCCATCCTGCTCACCACCCTCATCTCTCTTCCCTTTCCTTGCCTGGTCCCATGTCTTTTCATTTATCTAATGCTCTCCCATTCGGATTCTGTTCTTTAGTCTGATTTTCTCTCCAGCTGTCTTCCTCCATTCGACGCCACTCTACTTCAGTTTTCCATCCGACTGTCTCATTTTCTGTTTGAATTTTTTTTTTCCGACTCTCCGTTTTCGTCTCTCTCCATCACGCTCTTCCTCCATCGTGACTCTCTCATCTCTCTCCATTTCTCCCTAAAATTTTGTCACTCAGTTGTCTGAAGCTTTAACAATAGCTAACGTTTACTTAGGGCTGACGCATGTATCAGGTACTATTCTAAATCACTCATATATATATTTATATGCATACATATACATCATACACACATATACACACTTTTCTCACAACCTTAGTTTCCACTCTCATCTTTCTACGTTTCCCTCCATTTCCCAAGTTCCCGGTGCGATCGCATTTCTCTCGTACTCCCTCTAAGCCTCTCTCGGTAGGACCCATCAGCCTCTTGCCCTCGATCTCTCCAGTTTTCGGCTTCCCTCCTCTCTCAACCTCCCTGTCTCTCGGTCCCTCAGTTTCTCGAAGCTTCCTTCCGTGCCTCCATTTCTTTCAGGCTCTCTGACCCTCAGGTTCTCTCAGGAACGCTCAGGCTCCACCTCGGTCTGTGTCTCCCGGCTGCTCGGCCTCCTCCAACACACTGCCTCATCTCGGGATTTCCCTCCCCCCTCAGCTCGCTCCCAAGATGTTCCCGGACCCGATCGGACTCCGGCCGCCGCCACCACCACCCTGCGCAGCCGCCCCGCCCCCTCACCTCGTTCGCCGCCTCGAACGCCTCAACTTCCGGTCCGCAGGGTCCCTCACGCTCCCGAAACCGGTCCTGCGCCTGCGCACGCCATCCTCACAGCCCAGCCCCGCCCCACTGCAGACTCGAACCAGTGAGCAGCTGCGAGCGCCCAAGACTCACTCTGCGCCTGCGTACAGCACGCTCAGGCCCCGCCTTACTTAGGGTGGAGCCTCGGGTGACGCTGCGCCCTCTAGGGGTTCGGTGGGGGCGTGACGGTGGAGACTTGCTCTACGTTGCGCTAGAACTTGCATCTGGGCATCGCCCGGACGCTGGGGTTTTAGCCGAACTAGGAAGCTGGCCGGAGCCCAGACACTATTAAAACGGTCCCGTTATTTATTTATTATGATTCATAATTATTAATACATAATTCTATCAATGTATAATTCACCCTATCAACTCACTAAAGAATAATACAACTCAACTTCCCAGCTTTCTGTCTTAGACGTCCTATGTTTTCCAGCGACGACCACAGGTATTAGATAGTCGTTAAGTGTTTGTTGAATGAATGACTAAATGAACGAGAAAAGTCAGTCCTCTTTGGTCCTAGATGGGCCAGTCATTGCAGCCCTGAGCCTGTTTCCCTATTTATAACACGAGGATAATACCTACTTTTCAAGGTTGTTGGGAAAAATAAATGCAAAAGTATACATAAGGTACATAAACTTTTTTCACTACTGTACATATAGGCACTTCACAAATGTTAGATCTTTCATTTTTATTTTTATATCCTTCCTGTCATTCTCCTCGTACCTTTGGATAACTTTGCAGTTAAGGAGGTACAGCCTTCATTTCTGGAATCAGTTATAGGCACTGAGGATACAGAAATGAACAAAACAAAGGAGCTCATAGTTTGGTGGGGGAGACAGAAACATAGATTAAAATAAATAGACTGTCAAGAAGAACTGCATCCTCTATGGAGAAAAACAAAGCAGGGAAGGGGCAAGGAGTGATGCTCTTTGGCCCAGTGACAGTCAGAGAAGACATCTCCCAGAAAGTAGCATTTGAGCAGAGAGCTGAAAATAGTGGGGCTGCAAGCCATGGGGATCCCTGGGCGGGGACGTTCTAGGTAGAGGAAGCCCCAGAGGCCAAGACTGAGATGACCACAAACTTGGAGGGTTCAAGGGCCAGCAAGCAGGTTTGTGTGACTGGATGAAGGATCAGGGAATAGTAGGGAGAGAGGAAGAGGATAGATCATACACACCAAAGTGAGGACTTTGGCTTCCAATCTGAGTGAGATGGACTCCATGGGCAGAGTTCCATATGACTTAGATTTTAACAGAATCCTCTGGCTCCCATGTGGGGAACAGACTATAGGGAATCAAGATGAGAAAAGGGGACCAGAGAGGAAGCAATAGGTGGCTGGACCAGGACGTTAGCAGAGAAGATGGATATTTTAAGATAGAATCTGCAGGATTGGCTGCCAGATTGGCCATGGAATGTGAGAGAGAGACGGCAAGGATGACCCCAAAGTTCTTGGCCTGAGCTCCTGGAAATACAGAGTTGCCATCAACCGAGATGGGGAAGATGCAGGAGGATGGCCGAGAGAGAAAATCCAGAGTTCCATTGCGAGCATATTGAGTTATTTACTGTACATTGAGTTGGGATGTCAAGTGGGAAGTTGCATGTAACTATCAAACCCTTGGGAAACAGTTTGAACGTAGGCCAATTCTTGTGTCATTATCAAAAGAAGAAGAGGAAGAAATTGACTAACATCTGCTTAAAATGTACAAAAGAGAACTACAATTTTTTTTAAAAAAAGGAAAATGGGAAGAAGTAAACAACAAATATGAAATCAGGAAGAAAATCACAAACTACCAACACTGAGATTGAGTAGCAAACTTGAAACTAGTTCTTGGAAAAACTACTAAGATTTGGTTCTTTGGAAACCTAAGGAACTCGATATATCCATGCTAACAATAAACAAAAACAAAGGAACAAACTTGAGAACAAAAGGGAGAAGTTACAACAAACAAAAAGCAGGATTTTTCTTTTTTTAAATAAATTTATTTATTTATTTTTGGCCGTGTTGGGTCTTCGTGGCTGCACGCACGCTTTTCTCTAGTTGGGGCGAGTGGGGGCTACTCTTCACTGTGGTGCACAGGCTTCTCATTGCGGTGGCTTCTCTTGTTGCAGAGCATGGGCCCTAGGCACACGGGCTTCAGTAGCTGTGGCACACGGACTCAGTAGTTGTGGCTTGTGGGCTCTAGAGCACAGGCTCAGTAGTTGTGGCACACAGGCTTAGTTGCTCCGCGGCATGTGGGATCTTCCCGGACCAGGGCTCAAACCCATGTCTCCTGCACTGGCAGGCAGATTCTTAACCACTGTGCCACCAGGGAAGCCCACGGGATTATTTTGAATGATTAAGGGAGTTCCATGGAAAATTCCACAGAAATACATCTGAAAGCTTTCATGAAATTGATTCTTCTTAACAAAAAATAAGGCTGATGCAATAAGAAAGGAAAATAAATTTCAAAAAACAGAAAAGACTCTTTGTAAATGTATCAAAGAAGAACTCTCCTAAATGGCACCTGGCCTTAATGGATTAACAGCAGAATTTCTCCCAACTTTTCATGAAGTTATATAAATTGTCACAGGACATAATTCATTCTACAAGGCAGTCTTGGTCGTAATAATTCACGCGTGAGAGTTCTGAATAAAATATCAAAAAATAAAATATGTCTTGTTGAGGACTTACTAAGTGTCTCTGTATCAGATAAAGAAAAAAAAAGATAGCAAGAAAGAGATCCCCCCCCACAAAAAAATAAAAATTAAAAAATTAAAATGGGCAGAAAAAGAAAGAAAGAGATCCCCACCAGTGGAGAGCTCACAATCTAGTTGGAAAAAAACAAGGTGTAGACAAATACAGTTTGTCTCTTTTTAAGGCTTGGGATGGGTGGAGGAGAGACAGAAATTAAATTGGCCCAGATGTTGTCCTTAGGAAATTTACAGTTTAGCTGGGAATTTTTGTTCCAGAAACTTGGAGAACAGAACACTACTTCCTCCCTGGGAGGGGAATGAATCAGGGAGAGCTTCCTGGAGGAAGTATTATTTGAACAAGGCAATGAAGGAAAAGTTTGGTGATCAAGAGCATGGGCACTGGAGTCAAGTAAACATGGGGTCAAATCTCAACTCTATAACTTCCTTGCCGTGTGATCTTGGGCAAATGACCTCTTCTCCCTGGGCCTCAGCTTATGAAAAGAGGCATCTCCCCCTTCCTGCCTGGGTGTTGTAAGAATTACCTTAAAGTAGAAACTATGTGTAAAGTGCTATCCTGGAGTAGTGACTCTACATGAAGGTGTTACTGCTATGTGATTTAAAAGATCTGAGCAGGTGAGATGCTAGAGCAGCCCTGTCCCATGGAATTTCCTGCAATGATGGAAATGTCCTATATCTGCACTGCACATGGCAGGGGGCATAATGAATATTTGTTGAATGAATCAAGGGATAAATGACAATATCATTAAGCCCCTGGATCCAGCTATGCCTGAAGCCAGTCTTGTAAAGTGGAAGAGGAGGATACAAACCAATTTCCCTCTAGCTTACACTTCCACCTCTGAGACCAGGTCTCGGCCAGTGGATTTCTTGCTGACCACACTTTCATCATGGCTCTGTGACTCCTTCAGGGCCCAACGACATGATGCTGGCAGAGACTTTCGGAGTTGAGACCGCCCGAAATACAGGAAAAGCATGGGATTGAGACAGCTGTGAGCAAGGGCCAGGCCCACGACCAAGGGTTCAGCCCGCAGGGCCCGGGCCAAGAGCACAGAGTGTGGGGCAGCCAAGGTGAGTACCAGCTCCAGTGTGTGGTAGGGGGACCAGCAGACAAAAAACCCTACCACAACGGCCATGCCCAGTGGCCAGCGGCGTCGGGCAGTACAGCACAGGAGGGCACCATGGCAGCCGGCCACGACCACCAGCGGCCCCAGGAAGCCGAAAATAAACCGGGTGGCGGTCACTGAGTTCTCGGCCACGGTCGAGCCACCATAGTCCACTACACACTCCAGCCGGTGTGGGAAATACTCCTGACGCAGCCGGCGGTAGATGGCTGAGGGCACAGTGAGCAGCAAGGCCAGTGTCCAGGATGCCCCACAGGCTACATGCACCCTGCATGCCCTCCCAGCTGCACCCCACCAGCTGGGCCCGAAGGCCAGCAGGCAAAGGTCAGCGCTTAGAGTGGCCAGGAGGAGGACGCTGGCGTACATGGACAGCAGGATGACGGCGGGCAGGGCCCGGCAGCCCACGGCCCCATACAGCCAACGGCCCCCGTGGGCGACGGACACCGCTAGGATGGGGAGAGACAAGCAGCAGAGTAGGTCCGCCACGGCCAGGTGGAGGAACCAGGTGGCACCGACCCTCTGGCGGGCCTCTTTCCAGGTCACCCAGGCCACCATGGCATTGCCTGGCAACCCCACCAGGAAGACGGCAGCATACAGCAGGAGTGGGGCCACGTGGAGGGGTTCGATGGAGACGCAGGTGTCATCAACACAGTCCACAGGGAGATCTGGAATCTCGCCGTAATCCCCATACTCGTAGCCGAGAGAAGAGTTCTCCATCCAAACCCCAGACACCTGGACAGGCGAGAAATGGCATGAAACCTCAGAGATAAGAACTCTCAGGCCCTTGGAATCCCAGATGCTAGGATCCTAGCATCTCGATCCTGGATCCTAGATCCTTGGAATTCCAAGATGCTCATGGGCTGGGACTTGGGCTGGGGTCCCAGCCCATGAGCATCTTGGAAACCAGAATAGAACAACCTTAGAACTCCAGCGCGTTAGAATCTTGGAATTCTAAAATATTCCAGTGTTCGAACCCCAACTTCTTAGCATCAGCTTATTAGCATCTTGGAATTCTAGAATATCAGCTTACTAGCATCTTGGAATTCTAAAATATTACAACATTCTGTATCTACTGACCAGTGCAGTAACCGTCAGCCACGTGTGGCTACCGAGTATTGAAGTGGCAGCCCGTGTGACTGAGAAACTGAATTTTCAACCTTATTTAATTTTAATCTATTTAAATAGCTACATGTGGCTAGTGGCTACCTTATTGGACAGTGA